TTCAAGGTGCTGTGAAGAAAAGAGGCTGCATTTATAAGTTGTTTTGTTCCTCCCCGTTAAATTAACTATGTTGATTCTTTCAGAGTTGCACCAAGCTCTTCTTTTAAAGCTTGAGAAGTGGCTCCGAAATTGAATTATCAGCTCCTTCCACGTGTAACTATTTCCTCATTCCCACCTGCAGCAAGAGGGAAAGGACAGCGAGGGACCTCATTATTGGCCGGTGGAGTTGGCGTTGAGTGCTTGATGCTGACTGGAGGCCTGACTTCTTAGGAGGGTCCGGGCGGTTGTGGATACAGTGATGTATGGGCAGATGCATCAAATCGCACAAGATAAACAAGCGATGAGTTTCATCAGGGCCATCATAGCTTTAATTTGGCTGCCTAATGAGTCAGATCTAGTGGCGGAGATAAGAGTTGTCAGAGGCCTGGCTCTAATGAATTTCTTGCCACTTGTAATCAAGGTTGCCTGTCTGAGGGGGGATGATTAATGGAACCCTGGAGGATTCCCTCGGCCCTCAGCCTTCATTACATCTAATGCATTCTCAGGCAAATTAACAGCAAAATGCAGGCAAAAGCCAACAGGGAAAGAGGGGGAAAGGGAAGAGCAGGAAAGGAGAATGGAAGGAAGTTGGTGAGAACAGAGTGGGTTTTTTTTATACAAGACAAAAGATTTCAATGGGGATGTGATGAGGAAGATAGTGAGGTGAAGGAGTGAGGTTGGCAGAGATGGACTAAAATGTTCACATTAGTGAGATGGTATTCAGATTAGTGTGGAGGTGTGGGTTTAAATGAGTCAGAAAGGGCAGAGTTTAACATAAATTCAGTGGTCAAACTTGATAGAGATGAAATTGATGGTTGCAAAACCAGATGAAGACGTAACAGGATGTGGAGCTGCTTATGAGGCTCTGCTAGCTTTGATGCCCAAAGACCACTTTAATTATCCCAGGAACGGTTGATTAATGAAAAAGATGCAAATGACAGTGCTGCAAGAAAGTATTTGACCACATTTTGCTTTTTGTCATGTTGTAGAACAGGAAGTTCTAATATAAGCCAAAAATAACCTGAGCAAACTGTGTGGCTACTGCCAGACCTACAAAATCAAGAAATCACTTAAACAAGATCTATAAACAATCTATAAACTATAACTCCTTAAACAAACCTACACATTGGGTGTTATATATATATCTATATATATATATATATATATATATATATATATATATATATATATATATATTATATATATATATATATAAAAATTCCCTTCTCACCCACCGCGGGTGGTTCTTATCCTCTGAGCTCGGGTCCTCTACCAGAGAAATGGGAGCTTGAGGGTTCTGCAGTATCTTGGCTGTGCCAAGGACATTTCTGGACTGAGATGTCTGATGTTGTTCCTGGGATCTGTTGTAGCCACTGCTCCAGTTTGGGGGTTACTGCCCCGAGGGCCCCGATGACCACAGGCACCACTGTGGTCTTCACCTTCCAGGCCCTCTCCAGTTCTTCCCTGAGGCCCTGGTATTTCTCCAGTTTCTCGTGCTCCTTTTTCCTGATGTTGCAGTCGCTTGGTATTGCTACATCAACCACAACGACTTTCCTCTGATGTTTATCCACTACGACAATGTCTTTTTTTATTTTATATATATATATATATATATATATATATATATATATATATATATTATATATATATATATATATATATATATATATATATATATATATATATATATATGTATGTATGTATGTATATATATATATATATAAGGAGGCCCCTTAGACAGTCCAGCAAGATACTGGAAACCCCGAGATCAAAGTGGGAAACACCCCCAAAGGTGGTGGAGAACGCCAGAGCTAAGATCCTGTGGGACTTCCAAATCCAGACAGACAGAATGGTAATGACGAACCAACCAGACATTGTCGTAGTGGATGAACAACAGAGGAAAGTCGTTGTGGTAGATGTAGCAATACCAAGCGACTGCAACATCAGGAAAAAGGAGCACGAGAAACTGGAGAAATACCAGGGAAGAACTGGAGAGGGCCTGGAAGGTGAAGACCACAGTGGTGCCTGTGGTCATCGGGGCCCTCGGGGCAGTAACCCCCAAACTGGAGCAGTGGCTACAACAGATCCCAGGAACAACATCAGACATCTCAGTCCAGAAATGTGCAGTCCTTGGCACAGCCAAGATACTGCAGGACCCTCAAGCTCCCAGGCCTCTGGTAGAGGACCCGAGCTCAGAGGATAAGAATCACCCGCGGTGGGTGAGAAGGGAATTTTTTATATATCACAAAACAGTGATGAAGAATCTGAGGGGTTAGTCTGCCAAAATTACTTTGAGAATTACTCATGAACAATATCTAAAGTACTGCAGGCCTCATCCTGCCTCAGTTAAGGTCAAGATTAAACAATAAGAAAGCACCTGGGATTAATAAAGGTAGAGTTGAAAACCCAGTAACATTTTACACAACATTTTAATTAGTAGCCATGTGAGCAAAAATAACCACATGACTATTTTCTTGTTCCTAATAAACAAATTCATCCATGGGATTGCATTTCTTTCAGTAATGGTCAGTTTTGTGAATTTAACATTAAATCAAAATTCTAGATTATTCTGAACTGTACTGAAACTCGAGGTTAATGTGGCAAATATAAAATATTTTGGTAAGCAACAAACATATATTCACACCTTGATGCAATGTCATTAACAGACTGTTAGAGCGGTTTGGTGCAAAGAAGCTTGGAGGTGTTATGGAAATATGGATTTAATGTTTGCAAATATGGTCTCATCAGGTCTTTGTGTACCCATCCATCAGCCACAGACCCACCTCTGCAATCTCTGAGGCAATTTGTCTGAGAAGAGGTGGGCGTCAGAGAGCCCTCCTCACTGTTTAGCGGGGCCCTGATGAAATATCAAAACACACAGCAGCGCAAGCAAGCGAGTGCTCCAGTCTTGCCACAACAAACAGAAGTGGCCGGGGTCTGTCATGATGGAAAGCATGGTCATGAATCATATCACAAACATTTATATCAGGAAGCTTGAATTATTCAAGTGGTCAATGTGAGCAAGACATTTAAATTTGGACCTTGAAGACCTATTTTTAACTCCTAAATTTGATATAGTTACTAAACACTTGATTTTGTTTAATTCTGGAAAAAAATGACAATAAAGGTGTTTCTTTTGCATGAATTAATGCATTTATGCAGCAAGAAATTGAAGTGATCAGCTTGTGACTCTTATGATGTGTTGGGGAAGGTCAGCACCTGTCAGTTTGTCTGTGTTGCAGGATCTGGTGTCTCATTTTTCTGTTGACAATATGAAGATTGTTTTTTTTGGAGTCAAGTCAAATGCTGTGATGCACTAGTAATGTTCAGGGTGAATCCTGCCTCAGTCCAGGACCCTGCAAGGACAAGTTAGTATTCAGAATGGATAAACATAAGGATTTAGGTCTGACCAGTTTGATGGTCTGTCAAGCACAATCATACAAAGTCATTAAAGTAGGTGTCTGTACTTTTGGGAACGTGAGAAGGTACCAAGTAAAATGAAACCGACTCCACTCTTCCCCAAACTCTTGAGTAGTTCTTGTGTCGCAGTCATCTGAAAGCTGCACTTTTCTTTGATACATTTGATTTATTTATTTATTTTAAACTAAACTTTTACCTTCTACTGAACATTCAATTAATATGCATGGATCCAAGACTCTGTGAATATCAAGCTTCTGTAGCAACAAACTTTTGTAGCTAATCATCTTTGTGGTGGATGTTAATAAGTGTCTGTGTTGTATGAACTTCCTTTTTTGAACGAGTTACTGAAATAATTGACTTTTTCTGAGACCCTAATTTATTAAGTTGCACCTGTACAACTTGATGTGTAATTCAGCCTAATGATGCTGATATCGAGAAAATTCATTTTCTTGGCCTCAAATCAAGACTCCGCAGTGTTAGGCTATCACAGAGGCAGGAAGAAGCCAAACTGAGGCGATGAGCAGGTGATAAAAGACAAACAAAGCCGGCCTACAGAGTGGAAGAGGATAAAGATATGCTGAGACAAGATTAGCAGGAAATAAGAACTGGATTAGTGGGAGGTCGACTTCTCTGAACAGTAGGATCTTTGGGTTTTCCCTGAGGTGTTTTGGTGCCTGACACTAAGCTTGGCTCTTTATCTTAATCCTCTTTCAGCGACTCTCGGGGGTCCTGCAGGAAGGAAGTGAGGAGGTTACGTTATGTGACCGAAGACAAGGTTGGGTGATTTGTTTCAGTGTGACGAAACAATATAGAAAAGAGAAAGAAAAATAGAACATACTAATCAAATAAAAAGTCTCACTTTATATTTAACTCATCTGCAAGTATAGTTCCATTTATAAGTTGACATACACTCCTCATGGAGACAAATCTTGTACTAAATTAAAATATTTATTTTGCCATTTATTTTTAGTGTTCCAGATCTTCTACTATAAGCTAAGCTTGAGAACTGCTGGTACTTGGGCCGTTCCTGGACTTAATAAAAAAACATTTTACTTAATTTATAATAAACAGCAAGGATCTGGTTGGTGGTTCATACTTGAACAGAACTGGAAGTTCTAACAGGACAATTATTTTGAAGGAACTACTTTTCCAAAGTCCTAATCCGAAGCTATATAAAAATTTGTACACACTTACGAGTGTTCAAAACATTCCAGCCAGAAAAAAAGCATGTAGTTAAGGTGAAACTTACTTCAGGGACATTGCTGCCGTATGCATATATGTGTGCATAATTATGATCCTTTTTTAGACAGCACAAAGTAATAAATTAAAATTGTAGAATCGAGTTTTAATTTGATAAATTCCCCGTTTGTTGGTTCTCTGGAAAAAATCTAACAAAACGATATTTAATTTGCATTCCGAAAATTTGTAATCAATATAAAGCTTATTTTGATGATGACAGGTAAACTGTTGTTTCTTTAAACTCTACAGGATCTAGAAGGGCCCAGCAGAGAATAAACGAACAACGCAAACACTGGAAAAAATGTGTCAGTTTCCCCAAATTTTGGGGAAGGCTACAATGTTTTATTTGAGTGTTTATTAATAGGGCAAGAGTCAGCCAAGCATCCAAGCATACAACATGTTACTCTTTAGCTTTTACTTTGCTTCACGTTCTGAACGTAAAAGGAAATACAATAGGTAAAACAAATAAAACAAACACACAAAAAGATATTTACATACTGCATTATAAATATGTCAAATGTACATCATTATACACAAGTACCAAAGATGGTTGGCTATGTTAAGACCCAAACAGAAGGACCTTAAAAAAATATGTTCAAAGAGAAACAAAAACAACTTATGGATCAAAATGACCAAAATCAGTTCAGTTTGTCTCTCCAGGAGGAGCTTTCCGTTCCATAAAAGCACTAAGCTAATATATACATTTCGTATTGTTTGTTTGGGTTCAAACAGGCGGGTAATTCTAGTGTTTTTTCTCTCTATCATCTACAGTATGTAAATAGGATTTTAGGGTAATTGCTGTACATATGGAGCTCTTCTGTCATCCCACTGAACCATGAAAAGGTTTCAGTGAAATAAGGTGGTCAAGTAATGATCAGAAATAAGGCTTATATCACAGTACAGTACAAGTTGAAAATCTGAGCAAAAATCAGGTGGACTTATGAAGTCTTGAAGGAATTGTTTAACATTTTTGGCAGAAATGTGCTTTTTCACAAGATGTACCCAGTAGTATTAAAGCATCTAATTAGTACCCAAATAGTACTCAAACATCCAACCAAGCCAAATGTATCCACATATCTGTTAAACATGCATATAAGAGAACAACCTTCACAACCAAAAGGAAAGTGGACACAGATAGACTGACTTTGGCATAACAAAGTCAAGATTACGCAATAAACTCTTGACTTATTGTGCCCAAGCTGTCTAAGAGCTGTCAGAGAAAAATGACCAGAGTTTTCCTGCTGTAAAAGAAGGCTGCTACAGCTTTCATCGGCTTACAACTATGACACAATTGGCTGTTAAGAAATATCAATTTACTCAAAGTCAAGATAATAAGAGGATCTCACACGGACCAGTATCCGAGTTCTAATTCACAAGTTCACATTTCTATAAATTCAACTGTTATTTGTTTTAAAGGAAGAAATTTCTGTTACAGACTGTTTTCCATTAATTCTTTCAAAACATACTGTACTAAAATAGTGCAAGATTCATGTGTCAGCAAAGTCCCTGAAGGTACCGTTGTTCCTTCAGGGACAACGGTACCAGTCAAGGATTCTTTACTGCCAACTTTATATTTGTATTAGACATAACACGGTTGTAGTGGTGAATGAGATGTATTGTTGGATATGCATGTTTTTGTTGGATCTCAAAATGTAGTTTAACAATTCTTTATTATTTTTTGTTTGCTTGCCTCAACTTTTAATAAACAAACAAAAAAAAAGATAGCGCATTTACAAAAATGTCAAATAATTCCTTCCTCAGTCTTGCAAGTATCCTCCTCTGGCCATATAAAAAAATTTAGAAAATCCATAAAGCATCAACATGAGTATTGCAGATAAGGTACCACGTAGTTATTAGCCCTGTAAACAAATACTTTTGCCTTTGTAAAATATGTAGAATACTGCACAGTTGTATGAAAAAAAAACTTCCCTCTATTAACCTCTTTCTGATTGTAATCCCTTTTACTGCCTTTACTTCAGTCACAAATAAATTTTGTTGTCTCCCAGCTTTTACGCTCACATAATGTGAGGATAGGAAATGCTAAAGGAAAAGGACAGGGGTCATTTTTTTCATTTAGACTACAAGTCTGAGCAAGGTCAAACGGTTCTCGTAAGGAATAAGGCAAAGGAACATTAACTACTTTTTACAGATATCTGTACAATGAAACCCAGTTATGTTCCCAAATTTTTACTTTATTTTTCTGACTTCTCCACAGAAATGCCCCTGAAGCAGATGTTCAGTCATACACACGCACACACACGGTACCACATATGTATTTCACAGCAATAATAGCGGATATGAGCTCTAGAGTACCAGTTCTACATCTATCAGCCGATCTCCCAGAATCCTGTGCTGTTACACTGACTGAATCTCTGAAGCAATTACCAACATAATCCACTCAATCTTAAAAGAAATAATAACTCTAACAAAGAGATTATAATGGTAGAAGTTCACAGTTTCAATCAAACCTTTGAATCTCAATTTTGATTGAAGAGGCACACTCACAAAGCAGTGCGACTTAATAGTCCTAAAACATCATGGCCCTTAATTCCTTTATAGTCACGGACACGTTTACTGAAAGATTGTGCCATAGAAAATGACTCACTCTCACCCAATAGGAATTCTGCAATCAGCTCTTGCTATGATGATCCAAATCCATTTCCCTGTGAATTAAGTGTCGAAATCATTTGGCCTCTTTAACCATAATTGCTTTGCTTTTGTATATGATAGAGTGTTGAAGACATACATCACTGTGAAAGCTGTAACAGTCACTGTTATGAGAGATTAAGTTTCTCCCTGCGTCAGTGTTTTGTCACTTGTAGAAACTACTTTTTTACTGTTCTGCGTGTCGATGCTTAAGTTTGAAAATTTGAAGCCGTTTTCTGACTCACGCTCATTATATTTCTCTGTTCCCATTACAAAAGGGAAGAGGACAACATAGTAGGAAATGTTTTGAGTTAAGGATATGCTTTTTCTATACGGTATAAATGCAAAAGGAAGTAATCTGTTTGGTTGAGGCTTCAAAAACATAAATGTTAAAGATGAACACGACCATTTCAGACCAAGACTGAATAAAATTAGGAGGAAAAAAAGAAATAAAAAATAAAATATATTTAAAAATGTACAATGTCCAAGCTTGCAGCGCAGTGGAATATCTCCAGTAACTTGATACCTGATATCTCTCCATTGGTTCTGATTCTGGGTTACACAGTGTGAAACAGAGGAAGTACAACAAGTACACACGGGCGGGTTTGGGTGTTTTGTTTGTTTGTTTTTTTTTCTTTTTTCTTGTCTGCAGTGAGATTCTCTCTGGCTTCTACATGATGCTGATGCTGCGGTTGAGCTCACACTGAGCGTTGTTGTTGTTGATGTTGGGATTGCGGAGGCTTGCACTGGACGTGGGGGCGGGGCTTAAGCTGCTGGAATCGTTGGGGCAGCCGTGTTGCAGCAGGATGTCAGCGCACTCCTGGCTCCCGGCTCGCCGGGCGTAGGACAGCGGCGTTTGGCTCCGAGCGTCTCGGCTTTTCACATCCACACCATACTGCGGCAGAAAATGACAGGAAAGTTTGATTCTGATCATATATCACTCAATATGTTTTCTCTAAATTCTTACAAGAATTTTGTATTTCCCTACCTGGTCAGCCTGAGTACATTATTTTACTTAAACCAGTCCACAAGCATCCAACAGGTCCAAATGGAGCTAGTGGAGTTTGGCTCAAATGTTATGATGCTGTTACCATTATACTGTTCCCCAAATCAATATTTGACAGACAAAAAAACTGCAAGCTGATAATATTCTCTTGTACACACAGATGATCAAAATGTAGTATTGACACTGGCAAGGAAAATTCTGGGCTGGATGTTCTTGTTCTGGCAAAAACATAAATTGCCATTGCTAACCCTAGCCTTATTCTTTCAGTCTAAGCTATTTTGCAGAGAACAAAAACAGGCAACAATTTCAGCTTCCAGATGTGTAAAGTTGGTATGAAATCCTTCAAACATATGCAGCTCTAACTGCAGTAAAAAGTGATTTGACAAAGTAAGAATTCAAAGGGGAACAGCAGAAAAACAAGCCAAATCATAACTCATGTCTTTTTTGTTTCAATTCACAATTATACACTGACGTGTGCTTGTCAGTAAAACCCCAATGAAATACAGAAAAAATTCTTAAAGCAAGTCAAAACATCAAAACATTTAAACGTTTGAAAAATTTCTTCTTAACTAAACCTGAACATTTGTAGAAAAATAATTATGACAACAGCCAAATAAAAAAAAATTTAAGCACGCCAACTGCTTGTAGGTGAGAAAGGTGTGCTTTTTGATCTAACAAACAGTGTTCTTAGAACAAAAAAACTTGTCCTTTGTTCCTTAGTGTGGGCCTGACCTGCTTTTATTCTAATCCAAACTGGTACCTTTAAAAAAATAAAGAACAATCCCATCTTCAGAAGTAAACCAAAAGGTCAACCCAATGCTGGACGCCTTCCCCCCCACTTCTCACCAAGCTCAGTTGAGCCTACTCACCCAGATGAGCAGCTGCGTGATGACAACATTGGCCATGGCACACGAGAGGTGCAGTGCAGTACGTCCATCTCCATCACCGTAAGTCTCATTGACCTCCTCCTTGGTACCATGCGCCAGCAGCACCACCACCAGCCTCAAGTCGTCCTCCACCACTGCCCGGAGCAGCTGTTGCCCCAGAGGAACATCCGACTGAGGCAGCCCAACCAGGAACAGCTTCTGTTCGTACTTGGCTCTGATCCAGCGCTCCTTCTCCTCCCTGGAGAGGAAAGACAGCGGGGGTTTCAGGTCAGGCAGGGTGAGACATGCCGGACATGCAATCAGCAATTTCACACCTTGGGTAGAGAACTTTCAAAATAATTTAGAGCCTATGATTTAAAGGCAAAGTCATGTACAAAACGAAGTGCGGGGACACACAGGGGAAGCATTACAGTAATTGGCCTATGAGAGTCACTGAAGTATTGTGACATTTCTAAATTATTAGGGCACAGGAAAGTGATTTCACTATCACAGCCTACCACACGGGGAAATAATAGAGTGAGATTGGATGGAGAGATCAGAGAATGCCAAAGGGTGTGATGCTTTGGGCAGCATTCCAGCCTCCAATGATCACGGCCGTCAGCATAACGGCTCGAGCTCGGCCAGCTTTCTAAAGGTTACACATCTTGAACAGCATGTCTGCTGTAGACAATACAGGAAGGCGGGGGACATATTTTTATCAGCACTGTCGGCTGTCAGTCTGAACCTGTGGATCTCCGCCACAAAAGAGGCAGTGTGTCTCTGGGCCTCAGGCTCCCTTGGGGTAGCTGGGCTCTGAGTCAGATCGATGGGGCTGAATGGCAGCCAGAAAGAGACGGTTGGATGTGGGGATCCTTCACTCCAGCCTGCAAAGGAGAATGGCGATGGAGGGAAGGCTTCGTCCTCTATCAGGAGGCAGAATTCTATCTTTTGCTTTCCATCTTGACCCCCAATATCATTCTTCGCCCACATACAAACTGTTCAAATCAGAAGAAGACGAAGAAAAAAAAATCAATATCAATAAGTGAATGACTGAGCATGCCCAGTGTGGTGCTAACCTGGTGACCCTGTCAGTCGGTCTGATAAGGGGAGCAGAAAGAGGCTGTTGTTTGGATTTGTGGGTGAGTGACAGAAAGGAGAAGGTTTGTGTGAATCAGTTAAAGCGGCGACGCTGGCTGGAGTGACAAGGCTCTCGTGGGACTCTTTATCAACAGGCCAAGGCTTAGCAGCATGTACAACCTGACAGTCTCACTCAATTCAATTGTATTTCATCATAATAAAAGGTGAAAATGTTGTCGGCTTGAAATTGCTAAAACAAAACATTTGGACCTTCACATTCAAAATAATTTATTGTAACTTTATGTAATAAGCCAACAGTCTGGATGGAAAGGAAAATGGTAATTGCTTTTCAATTTTATTTTTAAACTGTGGTGTGCATTTGTTCTCAGCGTGCCTGAGCTCTGCCACTTTGCAGAATTACTTCAGAAACAGTCAAATTGAATCAAAAGAATCTGTTAACATCTAATAGATTTTCAGGTGAATTTAGATCGATGCTTTTCCTTGTGAGATTCTAATATATGAATATACTTTAATCAAATCCAGGTTGTCAAAAATGCGGCCAGATTATGTTCACCTCCAATTAGAAGTCAAGCACAGAATTACAGCTAAGTTTTTTTTTCTAACAACGATGTAAAATATGCACAGCAAAATTTTCACAAACAACAAACAAAAAAAAAAATAAAATATAGAGATTAGTACCCATAAAAATGATGCAAAATGATGATAATTTAAGTAAACGTTACCTAATTTCTGTTTTTTTGGGTTATAAACCTTGTTTGGTCCATTTGACTCTAATGAAATATTATGATCTCAAATTGAAACAGAATACATATAAATAACCTACTGTCAGTATTTATTTGCTAGATGTTTCAAAAATTACATTATTTAAATACTCAAAATCAGCATAGTAAAAGAAAATTAGTTACTGAAACATGCAGCTGGAATTTTGCTTTTTTTTTTCCCATTTTCATAAATGATTGTTTGTGGTCTCTTAAAATGCTGTGTCTGCTGAAACAACAAATAACCTTTGCAGATACACCAAATCTTGTCTCCATTTAGATGGAGCCTTAGGTCAATACTTATCAGCACCAAGCCCAAATTGAGTAAGTACAAAAGCTGCAAGGGCCATGAAGCAATTTACACCCACTTCGAAATAGTTTTAAACCTGTGGCACCTTTGAGGATTTTTGTTGCATTTTTGTTTGGGCATGAAAAGAAAATGTGGAAGAGAAAGTCTTTTCGCCCAGCACACTAAAAGCAAACCTTTTCTTCCAGAAGATAGTATTATTCGGAACTACAATACATCCCTAATAGTGGGCAATTGCAGTTGCTCAGAGTTTTATGGCGTAAGACCTTCATCAATTCCAGCTCAGTCATTATGTGTGGACAAGCCTGTTAGCAAATCAATTGCCTTTAGAGCCAGTGGACTGCTCAGAACAGGAAGGGGCCGTCCTGCCCCTCCACTCTTATTTCTTTGTAAACATGTTTGTTTTACAAATTCAGGACAGTCTGAGAACTGTAGGTAGGTCTCAGGATGATATGTACAACTTTTTAAAAATCTAAGTATGGTGACAAATAAGTGGGGTTGATGTGTGCAGTTTGTTTCGGAAAAGTCGACCATGAATAACACGATGAATCTGTAGAGCCCAGTGAATTGATATGAGCTAAATGAGGCATAACGTTAGCACCAAGATGTGAAACAAAAAGGCAGAGAAAAGCCATTAAGAAGACGTCAACATCTCAGAAAGGAGCCCGGAGGACACTTTGTTAGCCTTCACAACAAAATCAGCCCTAAAGACCTGCAGGAAAGGCCTCATTCACAGCTGATCCTGAGCTTTAAATTCAACAAATTCACAGTCCTTTCTAGAAACTTAACCCAATAAAGGAGCAGGAGGGATAGAAGCAAAAGTAAGTAAAAAATCCCTAGCTGCAACCACTTGAAAGAAAGAACGTGAAAGGAAGTAAAATGGTAATCCCGCCTCTGTCTTTTGTTTGGAACAGAGCAACAATCCAAACAGAGGTAGGGTTTAGACAGTCAGGGGGTAACCGAGACTCTTGAATAGGACATTTCCTCACTACAGGAGGAAGAAAAATAAAAATCAGCAGATTTAGCATGTCAAAGTGCCGGGACAAAGTAGGAGGGGAGGCGGCGAGGGGAAAGGAGAGTGAATTTACACAGCATGGGGGAACATTCAGGAAATTGAACTGATGGCTAGTCCTACATATACAACACACACACACACACACACACACACACACACACACACACACACACACACACACACACACACACACACACACACACACACACACACACACACACACACACACACACAGACACACAGGTTTTCTAAGCTAATAGGTACCAATTTCCCCACCCAGCACTGAGCACATACTTGCTCTAAATTTCTCTGTTACTTGGGGGATAAAAAGGTGGTTTCAAGTTCCTAGGAAAGACGTGTGTTGCCCCTTTCTTTTAACTACAATCACACAATATTCACTGCAAACCTCCTCCGTTTCTCAATAATCTTGCATCATAAACATATATCAACTTTCACTCACTTTGATGTGCATGAAATTCTGGGCCAACATCAAAAACGCTCCCTGAGTTTAAAGTGGAAATGAGGTTCCTGTCCGGAGCTGGTGTCCCTTTTCGTTTGCCTATGCAGAGACTGATGAGTTAAAGGCAGCTTTAACAGTAGAGAAAAGGTTTCTTTTATAATTCTATTAGAGCTCTGTCTCTCCAACTCTATGCTGAGCAATGCATTCTGACCCTGACTTAATTAAGTGGCAAATGGCAGAATGATTCTCCTAAACCCAGCCCACGGAGTCAAGAACACATGACTGAATTCAAATAAAGAGGAACAAACAAGGATAATTAGTCAAGCCTGAAAGACAAAGATGAACAGAAATTTATAGGAAGGGAATAGAAACTGAGACGGGGGAGGAGGAGCAAGAGATGCCACAAAATGACCAATCTAAGTGCCTGTAATAAAGGTGCATTGGTCCATATAGGAAGAGGAGGATGTCCGTCTCAGTACTCGCCCATCTTTCAAACTCACACTGAGTGCTTCACAACTATCAAAGCTTCTCTGGCTCCTCCTCCTTCTTCACGAGCCTCCACATTCACTGTGGACACATCAAATAAATGCTTTGAAAGGGGAAGAAATGGCGTTGGTGGTGAAAGGGGCGATGGGAGTTGGTCCGGGGGTGGGGGAGAAGGCTGTGGTTGGACCAGCTTGAACAGACTTTTGCAGTGGGGGTGGAGGACTTCTATAGAACTGGTTCCCATGCAGCCAGGAGCTCCACTTCCACAGACCACAGGGAGGGAAGAGCAGAGAGTGAGGAAGAGCAGTTAGAAACACAAGAAGGGAGGGTGAGAGGGGAATGACAGAGATTGAGAAAAAAAAAAAAAAACAGACAACAGAAGGAAAAAGCTGGGGCCCCAAAGCATCAAAGGTTGCTAAGGGTGAGAAATGAAGGAGCAACACAGTAAACGCTCCACTAAGAGTGCTAAATAAGGCCTCCCATGGTCCAGTGGGTTACAGTGCAGACCAGCTTTGCTCTGCTCTGAGAATACCAGCTCCAAAAAGAATGAAGACAAATATTTTTACAAGTCCAGTTGATGCTTCTTGCCTGTCTCTCTTCCACGGTGCAGCCTGAACAGATGACCAGAACTCAAAAGGTTTGTTGAGCTCTATAGAATTGCCAGTGGGAGAGCATCTGGGTGCCAAAAGGCAGGCAGAGGGATGAGTTGAATATATTGTGACATTAATGAGGTTGTCAGACCCCTCATGATGGAGTGGCTCTGTTTTTGTGCCAGCAAGACTAACACTCTTAAACGCTCATGCTGTTAACCCCTGCTGAACCCTTGCCTCACGTACAAAGCTGAGGGGACGATAACACATGGCCTGCTTAAGTGTGTGGACTGCTTCATGTAGTCCTCCACACATGAAGCGACAGATTTAAATTCTTTATTTTTTTGGTATTTTTATTTATTTTAATTTCCAAACATTATTGAGACTACAAGCACCAGCCCCCTAATTAGGGACCCCTTGCTATCAAGGCAAAACCCTTTTGTTTTCAGATCTGCCCAAATTCCAGGAGGAATAGATTCAACAAAACATTAGTAATGTTCTCAGTGGTTTTGATTCATATTAATGTAGTTGCTCCAGCTTTGTTGGCTGCACATCCATTTCCATCTCCTGTTCCAAAACATGGGGTGATTAACTGGATTGAGATCTGGTGAGTGTGGAGGCCGTTGGAGCACAATGTCATCTTCAGAAAAGCAGTTTGAGATTATCTGAGATTGCATCTGGAAGCATCCACCAGACAATGGATACACTGTAGTGACATGTTTAGCAAAATGACTTAGTAAGGCAATGGCATTAAATTGATGATCATCAGGGACTAAGGAGTCCAAGGTGTGCCAAGAATACATCCTTAACTATTTCTCCAGTCAGTCACCATCCAATTTTATTGAACCAGAGTGAACTGAAGTCTCGGTTTCCTGTTTGTTGCTGAAAAGCGTAGCACCAAGTTTGGTCTCCTTCCATCTGCTTCAATTATACTGTACACACTGGCTGTGATAAGAAATGATCTGAGGTGCTGTTGTCTTCCCATTTAACCGGTCTGAACATTCTCCTCTGACCTTTGACATTAAACATTTTTGTCCACTCAGCAACTGCCCTCTAGATGTGCATAGAATGCTCTGTTTTCTATGCTCATCTATGAACATTCTGAACATTTGTCAGAATGTTCTGAAAAACAGAGCATTCTATGCAAACCCAAGCGTCCTAACATGTAGGACAGTAGAGAAACAGTTTCTAAAACACTCAGACCAGCCTGTCAGGCACAAACAACCACAAGACATTCACTAAGTAATTTAATTGATGTATTTAACACCATTTTGATGCTAAGTTTAAATTCAACAACTCATTTAGGGGGACCTAATAAAGTGTTTGGTGAGTATAAATTGCATGGCTCAGTTGCCCATGCTATAACAAAGCAGACCCTTCTTTCCGTCCACCTGGCCCTGAATTCCAGTGGCATATTGGCAATTAGCAACCAAGGTGCTACTTCTCCCACACAGGGGTAATTACTGACCTGTGGCTTTCATTTAGAAAGAGAAAGCAGACAGAGGACATAGGAAGACTCAGTCATTCATTTGTCTCAATTAATTAGTCTTCCTCCACCAGGGCTCCTGGTGAGGCTAACTACTGTAAAAAGTCCTGAGAACCAGCGCTTCCACTGTTGTATACTGTGAACAGCCTATAAGCTCTGCCCAACGTTCAGAGGGAACCGTGAACAGCAGAAGGTACTGTAGATAACTCTTGCAGACGATTTTGTGTTGACAGGACTTCCTTCGCAAACAGCACAACTGGACAATGGGAGAGCTGGAGAAGAATGGGTTAAAACAGACAGAGGGACCAGGTTTGGAAAGGTTAGTGGTGTGATTCATTTTTATTACCACGCAGCCCCTGCAGGCGGCAGGAGTGGCAAATTATTTCTGAAACAAAGTGGAGGGCTCTCATCAGAGCTATTACCCGCCTGTGGCCGAAGGCAGCGCAGAGCCCACAGAGGGTGACAGTGAGAGGCCCCCCATCAATGAGGGATAGCCGTCCACATCCGTCCACGCTCCAGGATATCCCCCTCCCCAAATGAGAACTGGTGTCTGTGCTTCTGTGCGTGTGTTTCATTGTGTGCAAGAGGAAGATAAAGGTGAAGCTAACTGTTGGACTACTCCCACAATATCCATCAAAATAATATCCAGTATTGTTTTTGTCACAAACCTGCCAAGCAATTAGAGGTGACGTGCAAAACACAATGACTTGCGGGTGCTAATTAAATGAACAGCTCCCATGTAATATGCTGACTGCAGAGATGAGCAATGACAGAAAGTACTAACAAGTTCATCATTCCAGATTCAGCAGAAGTATAACCAGATGAACCTTTTTCTGAAATGACCCTACCTTGCAGTGCTCAAAAATGAAACTAATCAGTAAGTAAATGTTCATTTATTAATTGAGAAAACTAAGAGGAACATTTGGTTTATCTGGTTATACAAAACCCACTGTTAGTTTTTGTGTCTGAGTTACAATAAAAAAAAAAAGTTAAATAAAAATAAGAAAACAGCAATTTTTCTTACAAGTAAGCAGTGTAACTGTTTTGAAAATAATCTAATTGCTTTCAGCATGAGAGTTAATCTGGTGAAGTAATTGTAAACTATCATCAGCTCAGAAAAGTGTTTTAAAATACTGACTCACAAAGAGTTCTTATTTAACCAACATCAATATAACAAGAAGCTTTGGATGGCAGCATTTTTGGTGTCCAGCTGAAAAAAGTTAATGGAAACTCATGGAGTTTATCAAACCATGTAAACACAGTTTATTAAAACATGCGGTCAGTTCACACATGCAAATATTTTTCAACTTTCTTATCGTGAAGCATATAGTCATCCTAATGTTCAACTACAATTCAGCAGCTGTTCTGATCTGCGTATAACAAATTTACATACTGAGTTCCTGAGATCTCGAATATCATAAGCCAAACCAATCTTGTGGATGAGCGCTTTTAAGTTAAATCTCAAAAATGCAAGAGGTAAAACTAGTCTTGCAGGAGACATTCAATCAGACACCAAGTTGATATTCAGGTAGTTACTGAATCGTTTAGATTAGGTGTCACTAATGTTTAGTCAGAGTCAGTAGCCATACAAAGCCTGCCTATGTGTCAAGACAAAGCTGCTATGTGTCACCAGTTTGACACAATTAAAATCCTCGCTTTTATGGTGAACAGCAGTTAAAAGAAAAAGAGCACAAGAAAGGGAAAAAAAATCAATCAGCTGGAATTTATTCATCCTACTTGATATATACCTGATATTATGAAGGAGAAAACCATCAACATCTCACCAACCAGTGGCAATGTGAGATATTTAAAGTGATATTCTTGGTCTAAAGATTAGTTATCCAGCAAATGAGATTTATTGTTTGACAGCAAAAGCTAATGGAGATGTTGCTGCGGGACAGGATCGGATTTTTTTTAGACAGTGAAGAACCATCCTGCCTGCGGTGACGTGGGACTGACAGTGGTAGGGAGAGGAATCAACATCAATAATCTTTCATCAAGTCCACAGTGCAGCACTTCAACACAGAAAGGACTCAATAAACAACTGTAGGCCATCGTTCAGGTCTGAACTGGTCAGAGTGGAGGATAAATCCCAGCAGTTTGCAAGCAGCGGATAAATAAAACATCACTTTAAGTGAAGCGTTTTTGTGTCTACAAATGGCCGAGATGTCACAAGAAAAGTGTCATGATTTAAGATATAACACACTCCTTGATATTTCAGTCTTATGTGGAACATTTCTGCAACAACGCATAAGCCTGTAACTCAAAGAAAGTGCATCAAACTACATGCTCTCCACTTATGCAGGTATAGATAGAAAAATCTTGGTTTTGATGCAATTAATAAATGCAGAAAAAAAATTAAGGCTGCTATAGAGAAATTATGTGATTACTGAAAACTGAGGTGATAACCTCTAAACCAAATTTTTCATGCTCTTTCCTTTCTTTTCCATTATTAAAATGATCCACCATTTTCCATAAGTTTCAGCATCTTAGTCAGTAAAAATGTCCACATGAGATTATTAAAGATCATTCAACATGCCAAATATATTGTTGGCATTACGACTCTGATTGCATGGAATTAGAAATATTTGATTTGACATTATGAAAAGTGATGTCAGTACATGCTAAACAGATGACAAAATTACTACTTTTATAAACTTTGGTCACAATTTTTTTTCCTCATTTATGTCTTCACCTCTCATTACTTTAGTGCTGAAACATTTTTGAAATCTTGTCAAATTAAAATATTTTATAAAAATAATAAAGGTGTAAATAAATTATGCCTATTGTCTCTTGGTAGATCCTGATTTCTAGTCAACTGATTGGCACATCTCTCGTGTCAAACGACGAAGAAAATATATAAAAGAAAAAAACGGCTTGATTGATGCAACGTCAGTTAAATCCAAATATAATACTGATAATCTTGCTCATAGGCAAACCTAATGGTATACAAACAAATTAAATTGTTAAAAAAACAGCCTCTTCCTGTAGCTGCACTTGCACAATTGCAAGCATTAGCATAAAAAAATAAAATAAATACCTTTTTCTGCTTTTTCTCTTCTCTTAAAGTTACAAAGCTCAAATGCCATAAGCTAGACCCAGTAGACAATCTTTGTTGCGACAGACAGAGTGATGACACAGGTCAGTGTGATGGATATATGACATTGTGGTTTGGGACCTGGGGTCCTGGCTGTTGGTGTGGGGTTTAGCCATCATGGTGTGCTTAATTACCTGCACCGCCACACAACAGACCATTAGTCAGACTGGGACGATGGGTCTCAACAGTCAACAACAATCCTCTTACCAGATTGTTATCTGGGTACCTTAGAGGAAGGAAAACTGTGGACAGAAATATATTCAGAAACAGAAAAACCTATGGTTAAGATGCAAGAATTAAAGGAAATATATTTGCCAATTATGATGAGAAATCTCAATGCTCTTATAAACTAACGTGTGCTTGTTCATTAGTACGCATATTTTTAAAAACTTCCCATGATAAGAACTCTTATGTTAAGCCACAACCCTGACTTTCATCAGGTAACTGCAAAACAGTGTGAAACATACCACTGCATTTCATGGAGATTTATTTTCAAGCTGCAAAATCGAACAGAGAAAGAAGACTGGAGCAGAGATGTTAGATTTATAAAAAAGAGAGCAGTAGGTACGCTGAAGGATAAAATCTCTGACATAACAGACATTGTGATCAGTGTGTATGAGAAGAACTGAAGCTCAAGACATAAAATAATGTGTTTTTGACTCAGTGGGCTGACATTTATGGCCCCCTGGTGATTCTTATGGAGCATTTGGTGGTGGGAACTGCCTCCGCTGAAATGTGGGTAGCTAATAAATGGCGGCTAATGGAGAGAAGACTCTCATGCCTTCTCCTCCTATAATCTCTGCACGCTTCATTAAGCATCACCTTTATTTGCAGAATTGTGCTAACCTGGTGCTGTCGCTCCCTGGCTTTGTGTATCCCTCCAAACAGCCCTCCCATACGCTGTTGGCCATGGCGTTGCCGATTGCTGTCATCACCATGCTCAGCTCCACTGGCCAGTCGTCCAGGTCCAAAGAGCGAACGCGGGACAGGTGGGTACCCAGGTTCCTGTGCATGCCTGAGCACTCAATGCACATCAAGGCGCCCAGGTTCAAACTGGCCCAATCCGGGTCTACAAGATAGAAAAATCAGAAATCCTTAGAACAAGTCAGAAAGAATTTGAATTTTTACTTGAGAGTATCTATAATTTTTTTTTTTTTTTTAGATTTGATCAAACATTAGGTCATCAGTTATGACCCTGTTTCTTAAGAATAGAAGGAGCTCCATCTTCTTCTGCAGACATTTGTAAAAACATACAACTTTTACGTTTTTACAGCACAACTTGATACAGACTTGTTATAGCTAAAGCACATATAGCTTCTAGAAAAAAGTAAGCAAACTGTATTTATTCTTTATTTTGACTGCAGTTATATTAGTCTAGAATGTTAATGTAATATTGAATCTTCTTTGTAATATCCATATTTTGTAGATATGCAGAGATGTACTCACTGGGTGCATCGCAGTCCACACAGAAGCTGTTCCCCCTCACGTTCCGTATGGACTGAATGGCCATTGCATCACTTTGGCTGCCTAACCGAGACTGTGAGAAATTAAGGAGAAAATAAGTCAACAGGAACTAATTGTTCCAGTGTGGGGGAACAGAAGGCAAACAATTACAGCTGGAGTCAGGTTGTGGACAACTGACAAGGAGGTGATAGGAGCTTCAATGACTCGGGTGAAATGTGAAACAGAGAGAATATGAATATGTTAATGAGGCTGTGTTTCCCCATGTAGGCCGACACTAGCTGTGTTCTCCCTCTGATGTCTGTCAGTTTTAATAAGAGACTCCCCACACTGCGGCACACCTGTCTGACTACCTCCCACATGCCATAGCTTCAAGCTGGTGAGGTGGGGAAGGGGCACCGGAAGGTCGGAGGATGAGGAAAAAGAGGAATGGAAATGAAGCAGAAGAATAGTAGGATGACAGCAGTTAGATCCTATGCATGTCTTCTTGTTGCTCCTTATGTTTTCTGACCTACTGTACCTTGTTCTTGATGCTCTCACAGGACTGTAGGCTGGCAAATATCTGGCTCTCTATTGCTTGCACCCATAGCTCCCTCTCCTCATATGTAGATGCTTCGAAGTTCCACGTCTGGCCCGTCAGTGACACAATGATGAACTCAAAGGAATCTTCTTGCTCTGAAAATAAAAAGTATGATAGCTTAACATAACAATGTAAAAAAACAAAGTTAGTGTTGTTTATCTTTTATCTGAATACATTTCTGAAACAGGATACTTAGGCTCCTAAACAGACAATCACCACCTGGCGCCTCACTGATTGTTCACATTGGTAGATGGAGAAATATGCATTTCATTCTATCATGAAACTGACACTCCAAATCACCGAATGTCAAGGGTTTAGAAACTTTAATGAATGTTTAATAAATTTTTCCACTGTGTATACCTGCGTGCCCTTTCAGGGTCACGAGAGGGAGGGGTAACAGGTGTTGGTATTTGTCTTCGGCAGTTATTGGATGAGAGGTTGGATACACCCTGGATGGGTTGCCAGTTCATCACATGGCAACACAGAGAAACAATGATACCCAACGGTAATTTGGAGTTATCATTTATCCTAACAGTTATGTTTTTGGACTGTGGGATGATGCCAGAGGACCTGGGTAGGACCCTCTGGCATCTGGCATGTATGGGGAGAACATGCAAACTCCCAGAGCCTTTGTGCTGCCAGACAACAGTGCTACCAAAAAAATGCCAGAAAAAATGCCTCCCAAGCAGGGTTATTTATTGATGAAATGGACTGAGACATGTTGCTGTTGACTTGTGTAGCTTGGTAACTGAGCACAAGAATTTAAAAAATCTCAAGTTGTCTGACTTTTTTGGTAAAACGCCCTCTAATAGTGACAGAGACAATTTCAAGATTTGAGCTCTGACATCTAAGACAAATCAGATGCAGCTTTGACTCATCACACAGTATTAGTTCTTGTTAACACTTCAGTCACTGTGTTGGATGCATGATGGATGCATTTAAGGCACTATTATACCAGATGTTTTAGTTCTTCCTGTCTTACCCAGAAGAAAAAGCGTTGTTTATAATCTATACATAAATATACATAAAAACATTGGTGCTCAGTTGGATTGTAAACACATGAAAAATATGTGAGATAAAAATGTTCCATTACTAGAGAGTTTGACCACTCTCAAACAATACCGGGACGTTTTGGCTTCCAATAACGTCAGAAAAATGTCCTGGATTATGCTATGACATGTTTTGATGGGCTGTGAGAAAGTCTGCATGAATGGGTGAATGGGACAGGTTTGTAGAGAGTAATAAACCTTGGTCCTCATTTATCAAACATGCACAAAATGGGACTATGTTAATTTTCAAACAAATTTGGGGAGTTATGTCTCCAAACCCAAAACAGTGTGGAATGGGGATGTGTGGATCTGAACATAAGCAATAATGCCTGAGAAAATGGGTGACATTATTTGCACAGTATTGTACTGGACAGTGTAACTAAATTTGGTTCTCTGCCAACGGATTACTTGCTAGATGAATCCGATTGCTCATATGCTCGGTTTGGTTCACTTAAACACAGTTCGCCTTTTCTGCAAAGATTTTTATGTCCAAACTGAGATTCTAATTAACTATTAACTATAGATGTCCCCAAATCTTTTGAACTTTACGTTTTCTTTTCTCATTGTATCCTTCAATTCATTAATTTAAATACAATTCAACTCCTGGTTCCTTTCTGTGTGACTAAGATTTATGAAAATGTCACCTGATGTTTTCTGTGAGGAGTTGTGACACAACATATGTTCCAACACATGCTGTTCAGCAGCAATTCATTAACTCTGTACAGTACAATGTGACTTGTGTAACGTCTCTGGTCTCTGCACATGCTTGAGCTCATTGCCAAATGATTTGTAATTACCTAATTATGTCTATGCAAATAGTATTCTCATTTGCATAAACCACGTTTGGAGGACTGGAGGCAAACGCACACAAGAGGTACATGTTTTCCACTGCAGCTTTTATCCACTTTGTCAACATTGCATTTCTGTTGATTTGCTTCTTGAATGCTTCGTTTTTAAACGGTCAAACTGTCGATGGGACTAATTATTAAAATTACATAAAAACATGTGATACGACATATCACTTTAAAATTTCTGCCATTAAATTAGCAGTGCATGACTAATAAAACATCTGCAATAACATGATGTTGTGGTGTTAGACAAATCATCCGACTGAAGATATTATATTTACAATCAATTTACACTCCTTGCTGTGTGACACAGTCCTTTGCTGCTTAATGACAGATGCGCGATGGATGCCACTAATGTTGCAATCTCTGTGCTGCAGCAGAGGGGCCATTTCTTCAGGACTAAAGCAATAATGCAATTAGCTTGACACCGACTTCAATTATCTGATTTAGTTTGTGGTATCGACTCCAGGTCACGGAGAATCAATAAAGACTTGAAGCTTCTTTATTTAGACTTACAGCACAAAAAGTGCGTGTGTGCATCTGTTTGCGTGTGTTTGTGTGATATTTTAAAATACTGATCATAGCAGAAGGATGCCACAGAAAAAGGGGTTAACTTTAGGCATTTCAAAGCCAGAAAAAATAGAGCGGCAGGGAACAACACAAAGACAAAAAAATAAATAAAAAAATCAAATAAAAAAGATTAATTGTGATACACATAATCGAATTCCATTTTTTCTTCTCTAATATACCTTCAGGTACAATAACTAATGCATTTGATTAGAATTTGTGATGCTGAATGTTGTTGTACTTGTGCTCTCATTGCTGTGAAAACCTGAACAAAGCTAATTATTCTGTTGGCTGACCAGGCAATAAATTGGAGGCATTAACACACTTTCATTATGGAGATTAAAAAAGTGACGGATGGCTGGTTTCTTAAACTGATGCGTACACAAAGAATTGCAAATCTAGTGCTCTATGTATAATGATGTACATTAGAAACATAAAATATACAGCATCAGATGTGACTAAACATGGGTGGGTGCCTAATGTGAAGGTACATTTCGGTTTTAAAAACCCAATTTTCATATGGTTTTACTGTGTGAATTATTTTAAATCAACAGTCAGTGAGAGCTCCCTCCAGAGCTATCTACCAGAGCAGAGTAACCCTGTCAAACTGTTGCTGGGTACTGTCCATCAGCTGGCTGAAAGAAAGGAATTCCTCAAAATGTTCTTACTTGTTAAAAATAAAGACAAATTGTTGGTGAATACGTCCAGTCATGAAGTATTCAACTTTATATGACAGTAACTATGTATTTTAACAGGTCATGGTTAAGATGCAAAAGGAAGCAACGCTCTATACTATTTTTAAGATGTGCAGTTCAGAATCATAATCAGTCAAAAACAAAGAATTAGCGAGAGTGTAAAATTAACAACCAGGGTCCAGCTAATCAATTAACTAAGCTCTGAACTCTTAAACTGCTCTGGGAAATATGTACTATTAAATTTAACTGGTCAAAATTATATTTTGATTTTGATTTTCCACCACTGGGTTTTTAAGCAACAATGTTACACCATTTTTCAGCACTGATGATTCATAGGTTGACAAATTTTTTCAGCTCATGAATGTTTGATCACTTAGGGACGTTCACGGTACGTAGTGCATTCAACTTCCAGCCTAAGAAGGTCAGAAAAGTTTTAGGTCTGAAGAAAAAAATAAAAAAAGAAAAAAGAAACAGCAGGGCTTATCAAACATAATGCACATATGTCAGAGGCAACAGGAAAGGCTCTGAATGTTAAAGCTCTGAACCCTCTCACTCTTCATTTGAGTGTCAAGTGTTTCAAAATCAATGTCGTTGTGGATGATAAATATCACCAGTGCTAATTTTAGTAATTTGTTTGCTTTAAATAAAATCAGCTATGTCAAATTATGCCTTTCCATATGTGTTATGCACTCACATGTGTTTATTTAATTTCTTTTAAATTCACAAAACAGAAAAATTGTGGTACATTTGTTGGGAGATAATTAAAATCCAATATGGATCAATATGGATTGATTTGATCAGTCTACTTAGCAATACATGTCTTAAACACACAAACAAAACTACCTAATCCTAATCCACAGGTAATGTAGAAGTTTAGCAAACAATCCTCTTCCCAGCAAGCAGTTTTAGCACCAATAACCTGTCAAAGTTACTGTGCTAGGAAAATTGTCTGATGGTGCTTCTGCTATTACTGTTGTTGCAGTTAGCATGAGCATAGCCATTGAACAATCAACGAGTCACATTAACCTAAACATTAACCTGCCGACCACACCTACATCATCCAGTGATCAACAAGTTATTGCCAATTAACAATAAATTAACACTGTTCTGTTCTGTCAGTGGGAGGATATGTAGGAACATGTTTTAGAGTCAGTAGAAGTTCAGGGTGAAGAATGGAAAATATAATTTTCCTCAATTAACCTGGGATTAAGATAAAAATTACAGTATAATGGCCATATTGGTGCAAAGGGGAGAGGAGCGGGTTCTGATACACATTTCTGTCCAACCATCGCATCGATTCTATATTTTTTCACCATCCCTTCGAAGTGTATTGTTCATCTTCTCCTTTATTGCTTGTTGGGGTAAAACAACTGCATTGTAACAGGCAAATTAGATTTTAAGACACAAAAGGGCTTTGGCTACCATTAAGTATTTGCAGTTGAATGAAGCATGTCAAATTAAGTAGTTTAAAACAAAATTTGTCACACAATATGTATTTCTAGTGTATAATATTTATTTACCATTTTGATCTGTGACAAATTCAAAGAAATAGGGATATTGTTACCCACTATATTGATCTTAAATGCTTCTTTTAGCTTGTTGAAGATAATTAGAATCTTGACTAATTAAAACCTCATATATATATATATATATATATATATATATATATATATATATATATATATATATATATATATATATATATATATATATATATATAAACTGTTTGCTTTACAAAATATTTTACTTCTACTCTTATTGTCAGCAATGTCAAGATCAACCAATGAAATAATATTTAGTGGGCATTGAGGGGACAATATTTTTACATGTGTACTTTAGGCTTTGTCTTACTAGCTATTTATGATGACGTAGATATGACAGTTAACTTCATCGAGTAATATCAATTTTTTAAAAACGTAGGTAAAATTTTCTTTAT